GAGGTGGCCTATCTTGACCAGACCAGCACTGGGCAGGAACTCTCCCTGACTGGGTCATACATGGGCCTTTAAATACCCGGGATGTGGCATGGAGGGGTGCCACCTGGGTCAGCATAGATACGCCCCTTGCCCACCCGCATGGGCACGCCACTTGAGGAGCCACGTGGCAAGCAGCAGCCACATGGTCCTATACAAGCTTGAATACACAGTATAATGAAGAAGATGAGGTGGTATGGAGAGAGGTAGTACTATGGGGAGGAGGACAATAAGAGTGAAAAGTAGTAATAAGGGGGGAGGGGATAGACAATGAAGAAAACTGTGCAGTAGGGGATGGAGTGCTGGATGTTGGGAGAGAGGAAGGGGGTGTATTCTGAAGGTTGAGTATTGACCTGAGTGGACAATTCAGAATGGATAGAGTTGACAGCAAACATCAAGGAGAGGGTATTAGTATCAGTGGTCATTTACCTTCATAAGGGTAAATAATCTTCATTATTGGCCATGGTGAGCCTGAAATAAGTGGGGAAAAGAAACAGTCTACCCATTAGGGTTTCCATAACAAAATATAAGTATCAGTTCATTTTCTGATTTTCACAAAAATTTGCAAAACTGTATATTTTTTCACAGATATGAATATATCTTCCAGCTAATCTTCTGACTAGAAGTTTCCAGGCTAAAAAACAACAACACACAGAGGAGAAGCAAACACGTTAGCAATGTTGACTAAAAAATTAATATACAAATCTACATGCATGTTATAGCATACAGCAATAAAACCATCAATTTCCTAACTTCCTTGCTTGACATCTCCTTTATTATTGTTTGCATTTTCTATTCTCTGCCGTAGGAGAGTTAACTGGAGTTCATTGCCATTGAGCTTAGCCTGTTCCCTTGCCAGCATGTGGTTTCTGCTGGCTATCTGGTCTCGGCGATTCAGTTGTTCAATAGCAAAGTCGGAGGATTTTCTGCGAGGATGGGGAGAAACGGGCAAAGTTAACAAACTTTACGCCTTAAAATAAAAAGGTTAACAATAGGTACAATCCAAGGTATTGAGATAATGATAATGTTCATAAAATACTTTCTTTCTCAAACTCATCAGCTACGTCATTTTTTGCGAGAGGATAGAAAATTTTTAAAAATATATATATACACAAAACCATTCCAACCTACTTGGCAAGAAAGAAGTGAAAGATAGCACCAACGATCATGAACACCACAGCTCCAGCAGCAATGTAGGAATTCGGAAGCTTCTTCACACCTCGAATGCCATAATATGGGTGATGCTCATACTTCTTATCTTCACTCCGATCACGCATCTCCCAGAGGGAATCATCATGGAATATCCTAGTGGAAGGAAAGCCGCCCTTAACAAAACAGTTCTTAAATACGACAGAGAGAACAAACTGAATGTCATTCACACTGTAAAAAAGTCAACAAGAAAAAAAAAAAAAAACTCATACTCCCTCTAAAGTAAGTATTTCTAGTTCAATAACCTAACTATGTCCTAAAGTCCATAATATATCTAAATAACTGCTCTGAACTTTCTGGTAAAACTAAAAAATATGGATAGCCAGAAAATTTATACGATGAAACTTCCTGTCTAATATGCAGTAACTAGTGATATATACTACATGCTCTAACAACAATACCTATAAGGAAAACAAATACTGTCCGCACTTACACTCTTTCTTGTGGTGCATTAGTTTTGATACCACCATAATTGTACATGTTTTGTCTTTCTTTGTTAGCCAACTCTGCATCATAAACCTGGCGTAAGTGAGGCTTACTGAGAATGGAGTAAGCTTCATTCACAGCAACAAATTTTGTGTGGAGTTCAGTAGAATCTGGGTTTGTATCTGGATGATACTGCAATAGAAAAAAAGAAAGATAACCATCCTGAACAAAAGAAGTTGCTAATGGACATCCTTATTGTACACAGGTTGATAAAGACTTCCCAGGAAAATCAATCCATCCCATGAGGAGGAGGAGGAGGAGGAGGAGGAGGAGGAGGAGGAGGAGGAGGAGAAGGAGAAGGAGAAGGAGAAGGAGAAGGAGAAGGAGAAGGAGAAGGAGAAGGAGAAGGAGAAGGAGAAGGAGGAGAAGGAGAAGGAGAAGGAGAAGGAGAAGGAGAAGGAGAAGGAGAAGGAGAAGGGAGAAGGAGAAGGAGAAGGAGAAGGAGAAGGAGAAGGAGAAGGAGAAGGAGAAGGAGAAGGAGAAGGAGAAGGAGAAGGAGAAGGAGGAGAAGGAGGAGGAGGAGGAGGAGGAGGAGGAGGAGGAGGAGGAGGAGGAGGAGGAGGAGGAGGAGAAGGAGAAGGAGAAGGAGAAGGAGAAGGAGAAGGAGAAGGAGAAGGAGAAGGAGAAGGAGAAGGAGAAGGAGAAGGAGAAGGAGAAGGAGAAGGAGAAGGAGAAGGAGAAGGAGAAGGAGAAGGAGAAGGAGAAGGAGAAGGAGGAGAAGGAGAAGGCATAGGAAGAGAAAAGAAGGAATATGAAGAGGAGGCATAGGAAGAGAAAGGAATGAATAACTGAAGGAATTGTAAGCAAAGAATTTTTATTGATTACTAAGTTAATATATATGACACACCAGGTTTTAACTGATTTGCACACAGTACATGAACTATCCATTGTAATTTAGTTTTATTAATTTGGTCTACACAGATGGCTTCACAAGTGTCACCAAGTGTCGTTTACTATTATTTTCATTATTAACATCATTATTTCTATAATGATATCAACAATAATAATAGTAATAAAACAAAAAACTTGTTTACAAAAACTCAAGGGATAGGGTAACTAGGTGAGATCAGGTACTAGTAAACGACTCCCTGGTAACCGAATGCATCTGCAGCATCAAATACCTCCTTTGACAGACGAATGAATGACTCCCTTATTTCTTCTGGGCTACTGTCTCTTTTTATGCCAAGAAGTTCATAGTGGTTCTGCATCACACTGCTGAAAAACGGAGGTATGGACGTTAACATGAAAGTCTGACAAACTGGTGGTTTACAAAACAAAATCGCATTAATATGTAATTCTGATGTTACTTTTCTTTTGTTAGCTGATATTTTTCCTTTTTTAATCCTGTCTCTAGATAGTAAATAGTTTTGGTAATATTTAACAACACTGCTTTCTATTTAAAAAAAGGCATCTTTTAGGAGACATATTGATTCTACCCTTGAATGGCTATAAATCACTGCACTTTCCAATACAACCCCAAAATTCTATTTATGACCATCAAAACATGCCACATCTTGTGCAATCAGTGCTATTCACCATGGTCATACATGGGCTGTCAACAACATGAGTTTTTTTTTCCCACCATATTCTTTTATGTTTGTGAACAATACATAGCAAGACCTGATGGCAGATTCGGTGGTCACTTACGCTTACAATGTTATCATTAAGAAGTACATGGTCTCCACAAATACATGTTTGGTAAGATTCCTTCTGCAAAACCCTTTTTATCACTCTCATGCCCCAGCTTTCCTTGAAAACCCTCCTCTCCCTGAGCCAATCATACAGTCTTGTTATTTGCCTCCTTCAGTCTCACAAATGGAAAGTAGTGAGTATGAAGCAGTAATTCTAATACTGAATGGCATATATCATCCAGCCATACCCTGGATCATTTTCTTTCCTAGATTTTACACACCACGCTAGTACATAACACAGCTACATCTCCTGGTATATCTTTGTTCTTTTACTATTTATGCATCTAAAGCCATCTAAAAATGAGGCTTTCTTGTATAAAGGGAGACAGATAAGCATATAAGATTTGCAGTTCTTAGGTATTAACGATAAAACTCTAGTGGATTACTTGCCGTGAATAGTAAAGTGTTCTTATAGCTTGATATCTTTGCCAAGCAAGACTCCTAAGTAGGATATTTTTGCTGAGCATCATAGTTTCAAAAGTTCTTCTCTGCATTTTAATTCTGCAATGAGAAAGGTAATCAATAACAATGTATAACTACAATTCTGCATCATTTTCAAACATCAGTATCTTCTTCTGGTAAGTATCACACTACCTTCTACAGACAGTTAACAATACTGAACAATAAATAAATGTTACAAAGAGATGCGGCTTCCAGAAGAAAAAAATAATAAATCATTTACTTCTTATATTGTAAAAGAAATGTAGAAACAAAATGACAAAAGCTGAAACATAACTAGAGCTCTTTTTCATGATGAATTTCCCTACCTTTGAATTAATAATAGGCCCAACATCATTTCTGTCACAGTCACACTTCATAAAAAAACAAGTCGAAGGTATAAAAAAGAAACAAAATATTTCTATTCCTATAACAACTAATTGATGAAATGTGTGGCTTTATTTCCAATGAAATGGCTAAACTCTTCAAAATGTAACAGAAAAAAAATTGTGTGCCTAAAAGAGACAATAATAACAGATACTAAAGAAACACTTCAGAACCATTAACCCATTGGATCCAGACACTTCACTGCTAGCACATGGCCCAAAATACAGGCATTAGGCTTACTTGATCAGACACTCTGCCAGGTGCACAGCTTGTAGGCTGGGCACATGCAAATGCTCATGTGTGGTGACAAGACTCTATGCTTCTCTTTGCAATGTTATTTTCTCTTTTTCTGCATAAGCATTTTTAGCTTTTTTGCCATTTTCCAATGATATTTAACTTTGATTTGATTTATCCATATGGTAATAGACTGTTTTCATCTCTCCAGGTAGTTCATTACTCAGTGCAAGAATAATAATAATAAGTACCATTTTGTTTTTTGTGTAATCTTTAAAATTCCATTCTAGTGTTTAATTTTCTGTAATACAATCTGCACCACTGGCCATGGTAGGCAGGAATAGGATCCCAAGCATGGAAATAATACATTCAGTAAAAGGGACATCATTGAAGTAATACAAGACACTGCAACAAACTCAGAAGCAAGACAAAATTCATGATTTTTTTTTATTGAAAGAAAATGAAGCAAATCCATTAGCAGCTTGGACATGGGAGTTATCACAAAGACATGGGAACCAC